TAGCACACCGAGCCATTAAGTCAGATGCCCTTCACAGCGCCCCATGCGGTACAGAGTAGAACTGTGAACCTGGAATTCTTAAGGGACAAGGAGCCCTGGTGGAGCAGTGGTTGGGCTGCTAACCACAAACTCAGCAGTTTGAAACAGCCAGCCACTCCGAGGGAGAGAGACTAGGCTTTCTACTCCCATAGAGCGACAGTCTCAGAAAGCCGCAGAGGCAGCCCCGCTGTCCCCTAGGGGCGCTGTGACTCAGCATGGACACGATGGTGGCGAGTTTGTTTTGTGATCTTTACGGAAGCAGGCCTCCAGGCTTTGCTTCTGCAGCACTTCCTTCCAATCGCCAACCTTTAGGTGAGCAGCTGAGTGCACATCGTTTATGCCGCCCAGGACCCTTGGGCACATGAATGGGGACCTGCAGACATGGAGTGTACATGGCCTTGAGGGCTTCAGTGACCGCCTGCTAGATGTCACCTTGCCCAGCCTCCCCCCTGACAATGGAGGGACAACTACAATTAACCACAGCTATGACTGGCAGGCAACCAAGGCTGTGAGGAGAAGCCTCTTGTTCACAGGTGCACAGGTACCAGGTGCCCACAGTCCTTCTCACCAGGACATGGGGTGGCTATGTCTGCAGGGTGACACTGTGTGGCTGAAAACCAGGGTGTCTAGGGCCACTACAGGTGCCTTTCAAGGAGCCCATGACCTCCGGCCTGCTACATGTCTTCATCCCTGCTCAGCACAGTGGGTGGCCCCACACGGGGTTGCTCTTTGAGCCGCCTGGGTCATGGGATTACAAATGAACTGGTGAGGGTGGCTGCACGGGAAATACCCCTCTGAGGAGGTGGCATGTGAACAAGGGGCCGACCACCTGGCCATGCAGAGAGCTGGGCAGGAGCAGCCCAGGCCCTGGGCACAGCAGGTACCAAAGCCCTGGGGTAGGAGCAGGCTTGGGGTGGCCAAAGGGCAGCAGGAGAGCGAGGTAGTCACAGGGGCAGACTTGGGGGGGGGGTCACCCAGACTGGGACAGGTTGGACGGCACCTGTAGCTATTGCAATACACCACAGCAGCATAGCAGAGGGCTACCGCTGACTTGGGTTTTAAATGGATCACTCTGGCTGAGAGTCCAGTAAGTGGTGGTCCAGTAAGTCCAGTAAGGGCTATACACAGGACACAGGGACACCACTGACGGGCCACCCCTATCACCCCAGGGCAGATGATGAGGACTCAGATTGGGGCTGTGCAGTGGGAGTGGCAGAGAGGAGTGGGCCCTGATGCGCTCTGAAGGTGGACTCTGCAGGACTCACTGACACCTTGGCTGTGGGTGTAGCTGACTGGAAGGAAGGATGGCGCTGCCCTTCATGAGGGTGAAGGGTATTGAGGGACAGCTTGCCCACCCCCTCGCTTGTCCACAGGTGGGCCAGCCCTGCAGCTCTGGCTGCAGGAGAGGCAGGCCAATGCTCCCAAAGTTGAACCCCTTTGAGAACGGCCCTTAACAACATCAGCCCTGGTGGGTCCTAACTGGCTCCCAGAATCCCCAGGGTAGTTTGCCTGCTGACTTTCCGATGGCTTCCTCTTCACTCTGGGCCCCCTCTCCACCCAATTGGGATCACCACCTCATAAGCAACTTCTACGTCCACTCTTGTCTCAGGTTGGCTTCTGGGGGACCAGTGGGAGACTGGGGGGGGATCAAACGAGGATGGATTTGCATGGCTTTCCAACAGCTGAGGGAGCCCTGGTGGTGCCGTGGGTTGGGCCTTGGCTGCTAACTGCAAGGTCTGCAGGTTCGAACCCCCCCAGCTGCTTGCAGAGAGAAAGCTGAAGCTGTCTGCTCTCACAACGCTTTACAGTCTTGGACGCACCACGTAGCAGTTCTGCTCTGCTCTACAGGGTCATCATGAATCAGAATGGGCAGGGGTCTGGATCTGGCTGTGGGGGCAGGGGCTGTCCAGCCGGTCTTAGCGAAGACGACCCAAGGCCAAGGATTGCCTCTAGGTTGGAGATGCAACCCTGGGCCCTGCGACAAGCACCACTCCCCCCTCCCACCACCACCACTGAGGTTCAGGCAGAGGCAGAGGGAGGGGCAAGGGCTGAGGTGGGTGGGATCAGGGGGAGGAGGGGCCAGGCCAGGAGGAGGGGCCCCGGCAGGAGACTGGAGAATGGAGTTCAGGTAGAGGAGAGACGGGTCTGGATCAGGAAGTGTCTGGCAGCTATGCTGTCAGGGGTTACGAAGCCAAGTCCACAGTCAGAGAGAAGGGGCCGGAGACGGTGTTTTTCTTCGCTGCCAATCCGTACAGCTTATTATGTAAAACGGGCAACCAAACTGATAGATAGTGAGGGAGAGGGAGGGGCTGGCCCTGGGCCGGGGGTCCTTCGCCGTCTGTCCAGCCGTCCACGGAAGCAGGGAGGTGGGCAGCGGCGGGGGTTCTTCGAGCTGTTCCTGGGCTGGCAAAGTGGGAGGGAGAAGAGCAGCGGGCTGGGGAAGGCGGGCAGGGGAGGGGAGCAGCCGAAGGAAGAAAGGCGCCGGAGGGGCGTGTGGGCGAGCAAAGCGCCGCCCGCCCGCCGAGGTGAGGGGCCTGGGATGCCACCTGCAGAGCGCCCGCGGGGGTGTCACACGCAAGGCTGCATTTCCAGAACGCCCATGCCATCACCGCCCCCACTGCACGCTTCGGGGGCAGGTGGTGCGTGTTGTATCACGTGAGTGAGTGCAGAGTCGGGGGACACTCTTCCCCACCACCACCACCACCACCGCTGGGCCCTAGTGCTTTCCTTTCTAACCACTGGTGTCCACAGCCATGTGGTAAGGGCCAGCCCTGGAGCCAGACCCAAAGGTAAAACTGGTTCTGCCGGGATCCTGCAGGGGGCACTGGGGTGCGGGGAAGACAGCGTGGGGAGACCAGGTGCTAGAGACTAGCAGGTAAGGCTAGGGTCATAGAGTATTGGGACAGGGGACTGGCATCATAGGCAGGCAGACCCCAGCAGGCAAGGGCCCCTCCCACTCCCCCCCCCACCCTCACCCCCGAGAGAGCCTGGATAAGCCAGGACAGTCCAGGGAGAGATGGTGGGGGGTGGGAAACCAACACTGACCTCTTGCACCTGGAACACCTAGGAGTGGCCCAATGAGGCCCCCACAGAGGGATGGGGGGGGGGGCCAAGGTGAAAGGTGGGCCACACCACTAGGGGTGACACTAAGGGATGTGGTCATGCCTTCTGCTGGGAGTACCAAGTGCCCAGGGGAGTACCCTATGCCTATTGAATATACTGCCTGACCTGGCTGCAGCAGGGCTCCCCAGGGCAGAACCCCAGGCTCCTACTGGACAGCCTGGCCCCTGGGCATCATGGTGAGTGGGAGGGGACAAGTGGCACCTCTCAGTACCCACACCTGGACAATGCATTCTGAAAGACAGGCCCACTGGGAGCCACCTCCAGCCACTGCAGGTTCCTAGGAGAGAGTGTGTGTATGTGTGTGGTGGTGGTGGTGGTGGTGATGAGATAGTTGGGCAGTTATAGAGGGTCAAGACCGACAAGGGTTTGTAGGGGACCTGAGTGTGGGGTTCACACAGACTGGTGCAGTAGCCTGTCATAACAAGGCAGACTGCTGCCTGAGAAGGGGCAGTCGGGGAGGGCTTCCTGGAAGTGAGTGCTTTCTGAGGACGTCTGCAGATGACTGAGGATGAAGGGGAAGGAGGGCACTGCGGTATAAGTACCAGGGGACAAACACCACTACTGGAGCCTCCATACTGAGATCTCTTGTCAAGCATGGTGCTGCCAATCACGGTGAGAGGACTCAGGCTCTCAGGGCCCAGATGTCTTTTGCTGGGAAGAGGTTTCAGAACTTCTGCTTAGTGACCTTGGGTGTTTGATCACCTGTCCAGTTTTAATCCAAGCCCTTTTGACATAAGCATGGCTCAGTTCACCTCCTTAAACAGCCCTGAAGGTGATGCTTGGCCATCTCCCATACTCCCCGCCCTCCCCAGCCCTCTCCCCACCCCCACCAAACACACACACCTGTAGATCACATGTTGACTCTGTGATGGAAGATTCTGGAGGGAAATCAGCTGTAAAAAAGCACGGACACAGACTACAACATGGATAGACCCCAAAAACATTATGCTAAGTGACAGAAGCCAGACACACAAGGAAGGGCACATTATAGAAGCGCATTTATATGGACTGTCCTCCAGACGGACAGTGAGCGCTTTGTGGGAGCCGACTGCGGGAGGGGCAAAGGGAGTGGCCACTAAGGGGGTGGTGGGGTGGATGTGGGGGCCTCTTTGGGAGATGATGAAATGCCCTGGATTTGGATGGTGGGGGTGGGGGTTCAACTTAGTGACTATACTGAAAGCCTGAGCGGTATTGACTCATTTGGAGAGGAAAATATGCTTTGTGAATTATATATAGCTCGATGAAAAAATACAAAACAAAAATGTTGAGGGGTGGGATTTGATTGGTTTACCAGGAGACTAAGAAATGATGAACAAAAAGCAAAAAGGAGTTCTGGGGATGCCCTTGGTGATGGATCAGGCTGCTCAGTCAAAGTCAGCAGTTTGAAACCACCAGCTACTCCTTGGAACAAAGAGGCAATGTTCTATTCCTGTAAAGATTTACAGTCTCAGGACCCCACAAGGGAAATTCTCCTATCCTGTAGGGTCACTAGGAGTCAGAATGGACTTGACTGCAGTGAGTTTTATTCAAAGCAAGTGTAAAGCTCATTCTGGTTCAGGTGGTTGCAGGCTCTCTGAGATGCTAGAAGGATTTATGATCAGGGACTTTACAGAACTTGAGGGAGAAACCCAACGCTCAAACTAGGGTCACTATTTACAGAGCAGGGAGTTGGAATAGGCTTGATGGCGTGTGTGTGTGTGTGTGTGTGTGTGTGTGTGTGTCAGTCACCATGATAAGTGGCAGGGCACAGACCTGGGTCCCTTGGGAGAAGAGACAAACCGTTAACAATAGGTTGCACAAATTGCCACTATACTATGACAACCCCTTGCCATTGAATGGATTTCAACTCATAGGACCGAGCAGAGCTGCCCCTCATGGTTCCTAAGGCTGCAAATCTTTATGGAATCAGACTGCCTTGTCTTTCTCCCATGGAACAGCTAGTGGGTTCAAACTGCTGACCCTTCAGTTAGCAGCTACGTGCTTAACCACTGCACTACCAGGCTCCTTCAGGGCGATGTCAGCGTTTATGAAATAAACACAATATACTCCAGGTGAGGGGCGGGAAGGACCTCTCTGACTGTTAACTAGAACTGTTATTGGGAAATTGGACGGCCACCCTGCCAAGTGAGGGAGAGAGTTTGGGCAGGGGACACCAAGAGGGCAGGGGTCATCAGGGAGATGACAGGAAGACACCTCCCATGTCACCTGCCACAGAGCTCTTTCTTGAATCCACCAAAAAGGGGTTTAGGTTTCGAAGGCCAGTGCAGCTGGTTTATGCTGGAGTTGGGAGCCTTCCAGAACTTCCATGGCCTGAGGATTTAAAAACTGTGTCTAATACCATTGTTTATTCATCCAGTCAACAAATATTTATTAAGCATCTGCAACGTGCCAGGCACTGGGGAGTACAGAGCGAGCAGGACGTGTCCCTGCCCTCCTGGGCTCACAGTCTATGGGTGAAGACAGTCAACAGGTGACAAGGTCCAACAGCATGGTGCCACGAGGGCCTGGGGGCTGGTTGGGTTGCAGTGGGGGTGCTGGTTGGGATTGCAGTGTGTGTGTGTGGTGCTGTTTGAGATGGGGGGGGGGAGCACGCCCACCACACCCAGGCAGGAGAGCAAGGTTTCCCGCCCCCACCTCCCCACCGCCCGCAGTGGTTAGAGCATGACTCTGGGAGATCACCTGTGGGGAAGTGAGAGGTTCGCAGTGGACTTGTGGAACAGGTCAGAGAAAGTGCAGAGGGGGCTCCTCGGCTTGGTAGGACCCTTTCCGGACATGGAGCGCCACAAAGTAATGGAGAGGGCTTCGGAAAGGTGGTCCTGGCTGGGGTAAGTGGTAGGGGTGGGGAAGGGGCAAGGGGCAGGGGTGGGGGGTGGGGGAACAGGGGGAGTCAGGGACGACACATCGTATGAGCCAGTACAGAGACGTACACAAAGCACACGGTGGGACAGCACAGCGTGTTCCAATCCTGGACCGGTCCCCAAGTCACGGGCGCGCGCTCCGGAGCCAGGCGGAGCTGGGTTTAAAGCGAGGCTTACCGGCGGCGGTGTGACCTTGGGCGCCTGCCGTCGCCCCTGCACGCCTCGGACGAACAATAGCGCCTACCTGCCTGGCCGCCCTGCCAGCTCGCCCGGGGGCTCAGCCGGGCGCCGGGGTGCCAGCGGCCGCGGGGAGATCGGGCCCCCGAGAACAGAGCGCCCTTCTCCAGGAGCGTCGCCGGCATCCGGCCTCCCGCACGGGCTGACCCCGGCTGCCCTTCACCCCCCGCCCCGGCTCTGGCCAGCCCTCCGGGCGCCCGCCCGCCCGCCCGCCCCGCCCCCGCTCACCTGGGCCTCGGCGGCCCGGGGATGTGCTCGTAGCGGCTGCGAGCGCGGTGCACGAAGGTGCAGCAGAGGCCGAAGGCGAGCAGGACGGCGCTGACCAGCAGCAGTAGCCCGGGGCTCATGGCTCCGGCGGGCCGGGCCGGGCCGGGCGGGCCGAGCGCCGGGGCGCGTGAGGCCGCGAGCCCACTCAGCTGTCAGCGCCGCGCACCGCCGTGATCCGGAGCCCCGCGCGACCCAGTACCGCCCCCGTCGCTCGCTCCACCCCCAACGGCCGACCCCGCCCCGGCGCGCCGTCCCCTCCAACCACGTCTCCGCCTCCGGCCCCGGCGTGCAGGTCCCGCCTATGCTTCGCCACGCCTCCAGAGCCACGCCCCGCGCTGGCCCCACCCACAGTGTGCCTTCTTCACCAATCACAACTCCTCGTCTGGACTCAGACCCCGGCCTCAGCCCCAGTCCTTCTTCCCTGAAGCCCCGCCCCGGCCGAAGCTCCGCCCAGAACGCGTTGTCCTAGCAACTCGGCCTCGACCGGATTCCGCGGCGTTCGGAGTCCAAACACAAAAATCCAGCTGGCTGGCTCCGCCCCCAATGGGGCCTCGAAATAACAGCGCTGCTCCGCGCGTGGTCCTAGGTCCCTTCCGCTCTCTTTAAAGTCTACCTGGGGACCCATCCCAGGCCCCAAACGCCCTAACAGCACCGCCTGTTCCCCAACCGCCAAGCCGATCTCCCCAGGCTTCAGGGCCCTGGCCTGTCTGGTCCACGCTGAGTGCGCAGGACCCGCGGTCCCCAGGCGGAGTCCCCGGGGCGGGTGACGAAGCCCCTGCCCCTTACGGGATCAGTGGCTGCGACGGAGCGCACAGCTGACCGTGGCGGTGGAGCTGGCAGCGAAAGTCCAGGGCGCAGGCTGCTCTCAAGGGAATCGAGGGGTGCCGCGGGTGACGCAAGGGTTTTTAAAAATAAAACCAGGACTTCACGCTGTGTTATAACCTGCTATTTCCTACCCTCCCGCTAACGGATGACAAGGCCCCACTTCTGGAGTTTTCATGTCCTTAGGGCCCTAAAGTGAAAGCAATGGGGCTTGGGGTCAGGTGATCCCAGGTGTGTCCAGACCCCTCCAGATGAAAAGCCTCAGGGCGTGGCGCGCTGAGGTTAAGGTGCGTTTGGGTTTCTGAAAAGAGGCCACGCGTGGACAAGTCTCTGATAAGTTAGGGATCGGGAAGACTGTATCGCAGCCATTCACCTGCCCCCTCTCCCGGCCACATCCCAGGTACAGCAGAGGAAAGTAGCCCCTCCCACGGGGAAAAGCTGTAGGGGTACGCGTGTGGGACGCTGGATGTTGGAAAGAGCTGAGCTTTCAGAGCTGGACCCAGCACAGAGGCGGCGCACCAAGGCCCTAGCAGGTGGGACCCGGTGCTGGGCCGACATCTCCATGAGGCTGACAGGTAGCGGGTGGCCATGGCGCCCCCGTGTGGTGATGAGAACCACCGCAGGCGCGCACAGAACTCAGGACGGAAGTGAAATAGCACCCCCTTAGGTGGTGAAGAGGGTCCTGGTTGCACAGTGGTTACGTGCTGAGCCGCGGTCCCCAAGGTCAGCAGTTTAGAATGATCGCCGGCCGCTCCGTGCGATAATGATGGGGCTTTAGGCTCTTGTAAAAACTTACAGTCCTGAGAGGAGGGGAGGGTGGAGGAGGGAGGGAAAAAAGAGTTGATACCAAGGGCTCAAGTAGGAAGAAAATGTTTTGGAAATGATGATGGCAACATATGTACAAATGGGATTGATACAATTGATGTATGGATTGTTCTAAGAGCTTCTGGAGCCCCCAATAGAATGATTAAAAGCCAAAAACAAAACTTACAGTCCCTGAAACTCACCGGGGCAGTTCAACCCAGCCCTCTAGGGTCACTGAGTCTGAATCGACTGGATTGCAGTGAGTTTGGTTTGGTGGGCTGTGAACGCTCCAGGTGGTGGGGTGGGGGGTGCAATTTGTAAGACGCTCAGGGCCTTAATCAGGGGGATGTAGCTGTGCCAGCAGGCGAGCTCTTCCAGCTTTCTGGGAAAATTAAAGTGATGTAACAACTTTTAGTATGCAGCATTTACGGAACCGGCTCTCTTGGTCACAATGTATCACTAGTGTGACCACTTCCTTTCGCCTTGTCTCAGAACAATGGGTCCTTGAGGGCAGGGCCTGATCTTGAACAACCTTGCATTCAGGCACAGCCCCTCAGCCAGCCTTTCCCATGTGCACAGCGAGGACTTTGCAGGAGGGGGTATGGTTAGTAGCCTGGGCCATCACTGAGCCCACAACGCAGAAGTGTAAGGAGTCCAAGAGGCTGAGCAGCCTACCCCAATCTCAACTCCAGGGAGCACTGTTCCCTCTGCCTGCATGCTCCACTGGCACCTGTTCATGCTGCCACTGCCTCCTCTAGGAAGCCCCCCAGGCTGGATCCAGGCATCTCTCCTGTCACCGCTCCTACACACACACACACAGACAGCCCCCTGATGCTGCCGTCCTCGTGCCCAACTGACTGACTCAAGTACCCCCACCTCTACCCCAGAAACTGAACCCAGCTCCCCGGGAGCAGCTGGCTCTGAACCAGGCTTGTGGCACAGAGAGGAGGTAAGAAGAGGTTCACGGAGGGGCGGCAGAGGCAGGTGGCTGGCCCTGGATCACAGCCTGCCACACCCCAAGCCCCACCCCTAGGCATGACAGAAAGAGGCTGGAAGTGGTTTGTAAACAGTCGTGTTGTGGCAGCAATTCTGGGTGACAGAGCCTCAGTAGTGGGCTGGCCCTGGCCTGCATTTGGCCTTGGCTGGTGCAGGGCCGGAGGAATCAGAGTCCTCTGGGATTTCACTGAGCAGGTGGGACAGGGCGGCTCTGCCCACTGGGCCTCAGGGGTTTCTGTGCCAGGGGCAGGGGAGCCAGGTCTGGCCCATGATTTGAACACCCACCTGGGCCCAGGACAATGTCAGGCTTCAAGATGACCAGACTTCGCCCAGGTCTCTGAGCTCCCCAACCCCTGCTCCTGGAGACAGCTGCCTACCCCTTCCAGGCATCAGGACCCCTGTTGGTGGCACCACTGTCTGATGGCCTTAGTCACTGGGTGCCTTGCTGTCCTGCTCCCTCTCACCCTGCCTGAGACCTCCCAGACCGCGGTTGACCCTCTTCAGGCTGTGGGGCCACACTCTAGCCAATCTGGGCCTCTAGCAACACAAACAGGAGCCTGTGCCCTTGAAGGTGATCGTCCTCCAGCCTCAGGGTCTGCCTGGGGTGGCGGGGGTGGGGGGTGGAGGTCACAAGGAAGAACCGTGGGGACCCAGCACGTGTCTGTGGCTTCAGTTCAATTCAAGACACATGGGTGGGCAAGCAGTCACGATAGGCACCTCCCACAGGGTCCGGGGCCTCAGGGTCCACACCCATGGTTTGGTTTGGGCACCTGTGGGCACACTCCGTGCACAGGCCAGGCGGGAAGCCCTGGCAGGCTCAGGTAGGGGGCGGAGGTTAGCACTCAGCCTAGAGGTTGGGGTTCACGTGACTGCACTCGACGCCCGCGTCCTCCTGGTGGCCGCAGTTGTGCTTGCCCACGCCGGCGTGTGCGCACTTGAGCAGGTTGGCTTCGCTGCCAGCGCAGCGCACGTCGTCCAGCAGGATGGGTAGTGCGCGGCCCTCGCCGAACTCAGCGCGCTTCACGGCACGCACAGCGTGTGCAAAGCCCAGCTGGCGGCACACGACGGCTGCGGCCTTGGAGTCCCAGGCGTCGTCGCACACGGTGCCCCAGCGCCCACTGGCGAACACCTCCACGCGCCCGCGGCCCGGACTCAGGCCCGCCGGCCGCACCAGGCGCACGGCGCCGTTGGCA